ATATATATATATATATATATATATATATATATATATATATATATATATATATACACACACAACCGAATACTACTCAGCCATAAAAAATAAATGAAATTCTGCCATTCACAGCAGTATTGATGAGCTTAGAGAAAATCATATTAAGTAAAATAAGCCAGACAGAGAAAGAGAAATACTACATGTCCTCACTCATATGTGGGAGGAAGGAAATGAAAGAGAGAGAGAGAGAAAGAGAGAGACGACAATAAATCACTGAACTTTCAGGAGAGAACAGACCTATATTTACTAGGAATAGGAAAATGGGAGGGGGAGGGGGTTAGGGAGTAACTGGGTGAGGGACACAAAGAGTAATTATGATTTGTAATGATGAACATGATAATAATATTGATTTGATCATTACATACTGTACACAAGCACAACCCCCTGACGTTGCATCCAGCCCAGAAATGACCACTTGGTCACCCCCAGAAGTGCCCCGGGTTCTAGAGCCAGGGTGGGTGGGGTCCCAGGGCCTCAGCCAGGCCCCACCGCAGTCCGCATCAAGCCCAGCAATGACTGAGCTGCCACCAGAAACCCCTCGGGCTTCCCTGCTGGAAAGATGGGGGTGCCACAGGCCTCAACCACCACCCCTCTCCTTTCTCCTCCTCTGGCCCTATTCTCCTCCCCTTTCCCTACTCCCCCTCTCCCCAAATACTTTGCAACATCTTAGAATATAAAACAATAACAATAATAATAAATTAAAATTAAAATTAAAAAGACCACAATAAAACATTGAACTTTGAGAAGGAGAGAACACACCTATAGTTACTAGGGGTGGGAAAAGGGGAGGGGGAGGGGGTTAGCAAGTAATTGGGTAAGGGACACAAAGAATAATTATGGTTCATAATGATGAACATGCTAATAATACTGATTTGATCATCACATACTGTACACAAATACTGACAGTCAACTCTGTACCCCATAAATATGTATGATCTTAAATAAATAGATATTTTAGAAAAAATAAATTCCCTGTGCATCTTTTTCACAAGGCCATATATGTTTGGGTCTATTACTGGACTTGCTATTCTGTACTATTGCTCTAAGTGTGTACATCATTCCAATACCACATTGTCTTGATTACTGCAGTTTTATAGTAAGTCTTAAAATTTGATAGTGTGAATCCAACTTTTTCTTTTTCAAAATTGTTTTGCCTCTTCTAGTTCCTTTGCATTTCCATATCAGTTTTAGAATCAGCTTGTTTATATCTACAAACGATTATGCTGTAGTTTTGTTTGAAATTGTGTTTATAGATAATTTAGGGACAATTAATATCTTACTGTGTTGAGTCTTCCAATCCATAATAGAGCATGTCTCTCCATTTATTTGGGCTTTTGATTTATTTCATCAGCATTTTTTAGGTTTAAACGTATAGATCCTATATGTTTTTTATAAGCATTTATTTTGGATCTACAGTAAAAACAGTATTGTTTTCAATTTTGTTTTCCGATTATTCATTGTTAGTATACAGAAATGCAATTGGTTTTTGTAGGTTGACCTTGTATCCTATGACCTTGCTGAACTCATATATTAGTTCTGTGAATGTTTTTGTGGTTTGCTTTGGATTTTCTATGTAGACAATCATGTCGTCTTCATTCTTTCTTTCAGTCTGTCTGCTTTTTCTTTCTTTCTCTTGCCTTATTACACTGATTAGAACCTACAGTACAGGACTGCATGGAAGAGGTAAGAGTGGGCATCTGCCTTGGGTTGAACGTCCTCCCCAAACTTAATCCCCACTATAACTGTTAAGGGTGGGAAATCCTTTATGATAATTGAAAGGTCGGGCCTTGAAGAGGTTATTAGACTGTAGGACCCTGCCCTAGTGAATAAACACGGTGGTCATGGGTGTAGTTTGGAGGGCTTTAAAAGGAGAGTGAAGGAGGAGGTTAGTGTCTCTCTCTGCCCCACCATATTTCCCATGTGAGACCCCTGGGTCACTGGTGCCACTACCATGACCTTCACCAAATGTGTTTCCTGGACTTTGGACTCAACAGCCTCCAAAACTGTAAGCAATACATTTTGTTTTATTTATAAAATATCGGTTCTGTGTATTTTGCTATAAGCATCAGAAACCGACTGATACAGCATCCTTGTCTTATTCCTGACCTTATAAGGAAGACATTCAGTCTTTCATCATTAAGTATGATGTTAGCCATAAGGTTTTTTTTAAAAGAAGTTCTTTATTAGGCTGAGGAAGTACCCTTTTATTCCCTATTTGCTGAAAGTTTTTTTTATCATAAATGGATGCTGAATTTTGTTACATGCTTTTTCTATATTAATTGATGTAATCATGCTGTTTTTCTTCTTTAGACTCTTAACATAGTGGATTACACTGACTAATTTTCAAATATGGAACCAGCTTTACATTCTCAGGATAAACCCCATATGGTCATGGTATATTATTCTTTTAATATATTGCTGGATTTAATATGGAATACTACTCTCCTATAAAAAAGAATGAAATACTGCCATTTGCAACAACATGGTATCACTGCAGACCCTGCAGGCATTAAATGGGCAGTACAGGAAAACTGAACTCAGTGCACAGAAATTTTATCACTGCAGACCCTGCAGGCATTAAATGGGCAGTACAGGAAAACTGAACTCAGTGCACAGAAATTTTATCACTGCAGACCCTGCAGGCATTAAATGGGCAGTACAGGAAAACTGAACTCAGTGCACAGAAATTTTCAGGCACAGAAAGAGAAATACCACATGTTCTCACTTATTTGTGGGAGCTAAAAATAAGTAAATAAATACACAAACAACCTGGGGGAGGGGAGGGAAGAAGACACAACAATTACAATTTCTTGAAATTGATAGGACAAGCGCACAGAAAGGAGGTTGTTGGGAGGGAGGTTTTGGTGATGTGCCACAATAATCAACCACACTGTATATTGACAAAATAAAATAAAATTAAAAAATAATAATAAGATAAAATAAAATTCAAATCTATAAAAAATGCTAATATTTTGTTGAGAATTTTTGCATCTATGTTCATGAGGGATATCGGTCTGTAGTTTTCTTTTCTTATGCTGTCTTTGTCTTGTTGTTGGAGTCATGGTAATCCTGGAAGAGATTGTGTTTTCCAATTTTTGGTAGAATTCTTTAGTAAATCCATCTGGACCTGGAGGTTTCTTTTTCAGAATGTTTTTCAGGACTATTCGGATTATTTATTTAACCTTGGGTAGTTTTGGTAGTTTGCAGTTTTCAAAAAATTGGTTCATTTCATCTAATTTGTTAAATTTCTGTGCACTGAGTTCAGTTTTCCTGTACTGCCCATTTAATGCCTGCAGGGTCTGCAGTGATACCCTCTTTCATTATTGATATTGGTAATTTCTGTTGTCATCCCCTCTCCCTCCTCCTCATCCTCCTCTTCCTCTTCTTCTGGTCAGTTTTGGTAAAGTTTTATTAGTTTTATTGATCTTTTTCAAACACAAGCTTTCTGTCTAACTGATTTTTCTCCATTGTTTTTCTGTTTCCAATTTTATTGACCTGTTCTTATGTTGATTATCTGCTTCCTTCTGCTTGTTTTGGGTTCACTTTGCTTTTCTTTCTATAGTTTCTATTTTGGAAACGGATTATTAATTTGAGAACTTTTTCTTTTCTAATGTAAGCATTTAATGTGATAAACATTTTATTCTAAGTGCTACTACTTTAGGGGAATTTCACAAAATTCGACATATTGTATGTTTTCATTTTCTTTTAGTTCAAAATATATTCTAACCTTCCTTGAAACTTCCTGTCTGGCCTATGGATTATTTAGAAATATGGTTTTTAATTTCTAAGTGTTTGGATATTTCTCTCTTATCTTTCCTTTATTGATTTATAGTCTAATTTTATTATGATCAGAGAAACATTTTGTATGATTTCAATTATTTTACATTTGTTTAGGTTTGTTTTAAACCAGTATATGATATGTATTGGTTCCATATGTGTTTGAATATAATGTTTATTCTGCTGTTCAGTAGTGTGTTCTGTAAATGTCAATTAAGTCCAGTTAGTTGATGGTGCTGTTCAGTTCTTAAATATCCTTTCATATTGTCTACCTACTAGTTCTAGATTACTGAGAGAGAAATTTGAAATCTCCAGCCATAATTGTGTATTTGCACAAAGAGATTTAATTAAGAAACATTAAATAGAAAACCTAGAAATAGAAGCCCCTACATTTTAAGCAACCTTTATATTATGTGGAAGACCTCTTTAAACTACAGACTGGTTGTTTCTGGTGTTCAAGAAATTGGTCTATTTCATCCAAAACACATTAGGTTAGATAGAGATCTAATACCCTAAGAAATATGTCAATAGACAGAAATTAAAATATCTTAGTAACATGGGATCATTTTATAGGAGTAATGAACTATACCTAAGAGTATTAATAGTATAAATTGTATAGGAATAGCTTCAGGTATGGGGTTGCTTTCTCTATCTTTCTTTTTGAAGGAATAAATCCTATGTGTGGGGGTAAAGGAGGAATTGGTAAAGAGCCAAAAAACAATTACATTGTGTAATGTTGAATATACTGTTGTGATTTGAGCATCACATATTGCACACAGTTAATGATATTCAGCTCTGTACCCCACAGATATGTACAATCAACCATGTTAAAATAGAAAAAAAAGGAAAACCATAAAAAAAATCCTATTTGGGCAACAAACCTATACTTTCTGTAAGTAGCTATTCTTACCAGATCATCCTTTTTTTCCTGTTTATATCTTATGGCCCCAATTATTCCCATAAGACAATGAGTACTTCCCAAATCCTTTATAATTGAATTGGTTAGTCAAGCACTTAAGGGGAAGTCTACAGGAATTTTCTTTGCTATGTCAAAATCTTTTCTTTAAAGAATGATTAAAATAATTTTCACATCTAGATATATGAGTGGCTCCAACATTTCCATAGTCTGTGAAAATAATAATCCATTTTATTATTTTCTCATTCTAATTTCTATATATATTTGAAATATTGGTTACTGAATTGATTTTTTCCTGGTAAAATTCTAATAAACACTTTGAAGAAATTATTACACATTCCTTAGAAGCATAGTCTTTACTCTGTATTATTTAAGCACTCAGTGAATATTAAAACAATAAAAAATAAGGTCCCAAAACTGATTGATGAAAATGATGAATAAAGGAGGCTTTTAGAAGGTAAAATGGTGGTGTTATTAAGGTGGTAGGATTATGGGCATTTTACTCTTTTTTTCATATTTTCAAATTATTGGTCACTAAACAGTGACCAATATTTATTGTTCATTGTATAAGCCAGTCAAAATAACCAATTAAAAAGGCAGTTTACTGAATAGGATTATCCATTTTACTGTCCCATATGGGGAAGCTTTAGTAAAGGAAATGTTAAAATCTTAAAAGGTACTTACTTTATCTGGACAATTTTTGCTCAGCATAAGTGGAAAGATTCGTTGCTGTAAATATAATGCTTTAGATCTGTTACTACCATTACAGCCATACATGAAGATGTTTTCTTTCCTACTATGTCCATGAAGATCACAATATAAAATAACCTCTCGTATCTCCATCAATCTATCAAGAAGAAAAAGAATAAGTAACTAAATTTTACCTCTGCATTTTTCTTCTATGGGTACAACTATGGATTTACAAGTATAATATCCAAATAAATAGAACTTTTTATGTCCTGGCTTTCAATATACTGCATTTTATTATTTTTATTATTACATATTTTTAAAATCTACCATAATTTTCTACCAAACTGTATATAGAATCTGAATACTGCAGCCTTCCATTATAGGGACAAAATTTACCTTACTCTCACAACTTTCTCCTAAAAAAATCTCTACTTTATTATTCTGGTTTTCTGTTGTACGCAGAAAACAGCTCACTCCTGTCTCTGCCTATTTCCTTTCACACAGATTCTTCTTGACTGGAATACCTTCTTTCTCCATCTTTGTAAATGTAAATACAACCCCCATCCTTCAAAACTGATCTCATGTCTCACTTCTCTACCTAGTCAAGCCCATAGATTTTTCTCTTTTTGAACTCTTGTAGCACTTAATATTGGTAACATTTACTTGGCACTTGCCTAGGGAAGTTTTCATATTTTTGATATTTAAGCTTGTTAAAGATGGGAATGCTTCAAATCATCTAGAACAGCATTATGCACATAATAAGTACCCAACTATTTGTTAAATATTGAGTGCCTGCTGATTTGGTGCTGAAGCCAATTAATTTAACCCTTGATTACTGTGGTGACTCATTGTCATTTGGATAAAAATGATAACAAAGTTTGAATTGATTTTTTTTCTGGTAAATTTCTAATAAATATTTTAAAGGAATTTTTACACATTCCTTGAGAGCACGATCCTTAGTCTATAAAAATTTAGCACTCAATGAATATTAAAACAATAAAAAAAAAAAGCTCCCCAAAGGGATTGATTAAAATGACTAATAAAGGAAGATTTCAAGAGGTAAAAAGTGGTGGTGTTAAGATGGTAGGATTATGGGAATTTTTGTTTTTTTTTCATATCTTCAAACTTTATGTAGCATTATTATATTACTTAAGTAATCAAAATTACATATATAGTCTGTTACATATGGAAGGATAAATACCAAAATGTTAGCAATGGTATTCATAATAATATGTGATATATTATTACATTTATAACAAAAACATTAAAACCTAAAATCAAAATATTCAAAGCACTACTTCTATTAGAAACAATACTTCTTTAAACTACAGTGAAATCCCAAACTGAAATCTGTTACATGTATTAATTTATTGCTCTTTTCTCATTTGGTGCCCAGTAAGTTCTAATTAATAACGTAAGATTCCCTAAAAAAAAAAAAAAGATTGACATAAAGCCACCAAATAATTATTACAGGTTTTCAGAAAACTAGATTATAAAGCATATCAAGTTGTCCTTAAATAGGAAACATGCTGTACATTTTTAAACAAAAAATTCCCCAGTTTTAATTATCTTTCAGCTTTTCATAAGCAAGTCAAAGGAAATCTCTACTTCTAAGTGATTAATTCCCAAAGAAATGTTATTACTTCTGGAGTGAAATATGACATTAGGGTACCTCATCTTACATTAATTTAAATAGCTTTAGAAAGAGTTTGGATTTTCTTCGTATCCACAGGTCACTATATTCTAAGTATTTTATACTAAGTATCCTGTACTAAGATCTACTCTCTCTTATTCTAATATGCTTTAAACATATTTAATCTTAGATGTATTTACAGCTGCTCACTTTTTCACACATATGTGACTGACTTCTTACTCTACTTACCTGCCTATGATTAATTTTTTTTTTTTTGTCTTTCGTCTTTTTCCGTGTCCGGCAACGGATCGCAACCCTCAGTGTTGCCCCCGTACCGGACCGGGGACCGGCAACGGGATCGCAACCCTCGGTGTCGCTCCCGCGCCTCACTCAGCCAGTGAGCGGGAACCGGTCTGTATGTGGGATCCGAACCCTCGGGCGGGAGCGCCGCCGCGCTTCCCAAGTGGCGCACTATCCAGTGCACCACCGGGCCGGCCCGCCTATGATTAATTGTGTTAAGGTATTTTTCTTTCTTGGAAGTCTTTCTGGAACTTACTGAATAGACTCCTGCTATATACCCTTCTTATAAGGTAATCTGAGAAGTGAGTCATTTAAAATAGTTTCCACAGACATAAGCCAAGGGGCCAGCATGTGTCAGGCCAAGGACCCTTAATATTAAAGATCATTAAGTAGACATATAGATACTCTAATAGGAAGCCCATCAGCTCTCTTTATGTTTATGAAAAATAAACTTAATTTTGGAATAACTTTAGATTTACATAAAAGTTGCAAAAATAATAGAATTAGTTCTTGGATATCCCTTACCCAGTTTTCCCTGATGTTAACATATTATATTAACATTGTTAACATTGTTAAAAAATGAAGAAACCAATGTTGGTATGTTACTATTAACTGAACTCCCAATTTTATTTGGATTTCACTAACTTTTCCACTAATGTCCTTTTTCGATCCCAGCATCTAATCCAGGATACCACATTGCATTTAGGCAGCTCCTTTTTTACTGTTTACCATCCCCAGGAAATAAAGAAGTCACAGGTTATTCTCTTATTACTTAAACGTTTGCCGTATAACTTCAAGGAATCCTGGAATCCACATTTGTGAGTTTAAAACTAGGATTTTCGGTCCTTCCTGTGTGGCTCTGCACTTCATCTCCTATGTTCCTAAGCAGATAAAAGGATTAATGTGAAAGTGAAAGTTGAGGCCAAACTGTCTAAAGATAATTGGAGCCATCCCAGATGCTTCCAAAACCTGTCAGCTCCTCTGAGGATCTGTAGGTATCCTAGGGGATGTCAGCTTTTTAACAAGGTTCTTTTGCTTGCCACTGTAAGAATCCTGGCGACAAAGCTGCAGAAGGATATAAGAAGTCTCTATATTAGTACCTATCATTGTAACATTTGAATGATCCTAAATACCCCTCTACCCAGATGCAGGCAAGACATTTTCCCAGCGGGAAACAGGCAAGGAGCATGCCAAAAACACCACTTCCTGTGGGTGGCCGCCCACAACCACTGCCACAGCCACAGCCACAGCTGCTGCAAAAGCAACTCGATGCCACAGCAGTAAGCCACAGCTACCATGCAGGTGGCCCACCAGATACCAGACTGCAGTGACACAGAGAGAGTCACTAGCGGAGACCGGAAAAAGAAGGTAAGACTCTCTCAAAGCCCACTCCAGTATAGTAGAAGAAGCACCTGTTTACCATGCCCCTGATTTATTTCTGATTTTAGTAATTTCAGTCTTCTCTCTTTTTTTTCTTGGTCAGTCTAGATATAGGTTTGCAAATTTTGCTGATCTCTTTAAAGAACCAAAAAAATAAAAATAAATAAATAAATAAAAGACTGTTAAGCAGTTTACAAAGCACCACTGACATGAATATTTTATTCAAACATTAACTTTACATAATTCTTTTAGGGTATAATAATCTTTATATATATTGGGTAACTTGTTAAATATGTAACTATCATTCATTTTCTTTGACAGACTTTGTTATGGGAGATTGAAATCAAGCTCAAAACTCATTTCTCAAAAAAAGAAAAAAAAGAGAAAAATAAAATAATTGGTAAGGTTTTTAGGTGTTTCTGTAGCACTTTCTTCAGGACCTTAAATGCTTGTTGTGGAATAGAAAAAGGCTTTTGTCAGTGTGCCTATTTATTTCTCAGAGCCTTAGTTGTAGGAAGAGTTCATAAATGTATTTGAATATTAAAATGTTTTCTGTCGGGCCGGCCCGGTGGCGCACTGCTACAGTGCGCCACTTGGGAGTGCGGTGGCGCTCCCGCTGAGGGTTTGGATCCCACATACAGACCGGCCGCTCACTGGCTGAGCAAGGTGCGGGCGCAACACCGAGGGTTGCGATCCCATTGCCGGTCACGAAAAAAGACAAAAAGGAAAAAAAAAATGTTTTCTGTCAAACTAAAGAAAAAAAATGAATTAACCCTAAATAGTTTAGTTTCACATCTATATCTGATTTGATTAACAACTTTTTTCTTACATTTGAGGAAGCACACTGAGTACATTTAGAGCTTTCATTGTTCCAGACCCTATTCTGAGCACTTTAGTAATATTTTTTTCATTTAATCCTCAATCTTTGAGGTAAGTATTATTATTCCCATTTTATTTATTTGTTTTTTTCAAGGTAACATTTTATTATTAGCTGGAGTAGGGCTCTACACTTTAATGTGGATGCTCCAGTTATCTCTTTTTAAAATTTTATCATTACACAATGTAAACATTTTTTGTGGCCCTTTACCAATTTCTCCTTAACCCTCCCTCCCCCACCCCCTTTCCTAACTCTGGTATCCTCAGTTCCATTTATTCCCATTTTACAGATGATAAAACTGATATTTAGATTATTTTTTTAATCACACAAGCTCACAGTTAGTAAACGATATATTAGGGATTCCAATATGATATGCTTAACTCCAAAGTCCATGCTCTTAACCAAAAAAGGTTAAGAAGCTTTGAACCTGGAATGGGTGTTCTCTGACTCCAATAAATCTTTCTACTGTAGCACGTGTCTATTCCTGATTATTATTACCTGCTTGTTATTTATTCAATAAGTCACCCAGTCATTCAACAAATAATTAAACATTATGTGCATTTTACTGTTCTAGATTCTTTGGAAAATTTAAAGATGTTCAATTTTTCTAGGGGCAAATAAGACTATTATTCATGAAAGTTTAAATAACTATGTACCCTGATAATAAAAAGTCTCATAGAGCAATGTACGATCAACACATTGCCAGGAGACTCTGTGAGATGTAATTAATCTTTACATATAAGGGATACAACGATCCCAATGTAACCATCAGTACTACCATTAGCTTTAGCAAGAAACCAAATTTGGGATATGCAAACTTAACTATTAGTTTCACAGAGCCATCAAAACATTCTGGAGTCTATATCATTACTTAAGGGAAAGCTAGTGAATCCAGTGGCTTAGTGCCAGAAAGGTACAGAATAAGAGTTGGAAAGAATGGGAAAAAAATAAAGTAGTTATAGTTAAACAATCTCAAGAAAAGTTGAGTAAAGTGAGTGGAATTGTGGGAGTAAAATTCTTACTATCAAGTTTACTAATAAGCAGAGAGGTAATTTGAGGCTTATTTTACCTACGGATCATGTTCCGGGTATACCAAACAGAAGGAAAAGATTCCTTCAGGAGAGATGTATAATTACGGTTTAAATCCTGTCCCGCTAAGGAACACCGATAATTTCCCACAATCACACCATCTGGGTTCAGCATGGGTACCACCTTGAAGACAAACGTGTCCCGAAGCAACTGGGCATCACTCGAGTCTCCTAAAATATAATCTAGGAAGCCTTTCATGATCCAAGAGCTGTTGGTTTCTCCTGGATGGACCCTTGCAGTCAAAACCACAGCCTTTCGTTTTCTTGAGTCATGGTTCTTCAAGGGGGTAGTGATGGTTAAGACATACACCATGTTCCTAGCAAGTGTGTGGCACAAGACACGTATCTTACAAAACTTTGACCGTACTGGGTCATTATTGATGCCAGAAAGGTATTCTTGCAGGTTGGCGTAAGTGTATGGATAGCAGTGGGCAAAGTAGCAGGTATCTTGGTTGTATGGAAATTGAAAAGTCCATGTAAGAGAAAAATAATGGCGACCGTCTTGCCCCTGGTTGTTTCTATAATACTTGATTTGGTCTCCTATTCTCTGCCAGCCAATATTGTGAGCCTTGGCCTCTTTTTCAGAATAGAACAATGGGCGCATACCCCGATTGTAAAGACTAGTAGGCTTGGTGAAGTTGACGATAGTGAATCTGTAGACTATTTCTGCTTGGGTATTAGTGACTTGAAAATAGTACCACTGGGTGTGTTTATTTGTGAAGAGGTCAGGGCGCACAGTCAACTGGTATTCATATTCTGCCCTGATATACAAGAAAGGAAAGGGAGAAAAGCACATAAGAAGGTAAAAATGACATTTGCATTTAAATTAAACAAGAAAAATTATTTTATTTTTACCTATTCACAGAAAGCCTTTTTTGGGAAACAATGTGTATTTACATAGTATCTAATAGCAAGTAACTTCAAAAGACAAATGTTTTGAAATTTCTCTTTTATTGGATGAGAAACTGTTGCTATGCTAATTCTAAAGCCTTTGTATTCCTTTGCGATTCAAAAAAGCACATAAAAACACAGGCATTTGATTATTTTAACTCAATTATATTTTCTATAAAAGACATGATTAAAGAGTTATTGAAATGAAGAAAAGTCCAATGTTTCTTTTTTTGCTTCAGACACATATTTCTATTTTCTGTTAGATTCTAACTCTGGGGATATGAAATAACTATCACTGAAAGAGGTTTAAAAACATATATAAGTTAATATGATCACATAGATTATAAAATTTGAACTCCTTGAGGACTGTATTTGGTAACTATTTGCATTCCCATACTTAGTCATCGAAAATAAATAAAGGCAAAAACAATTTCACTGGAATATTAATTATATACATTACAATCTTACCTGGTTCATTGTCACTTTTTTTTCTTTACCAAGTTACTGTCTAGTCTATCAGCACTATGTACTCGTGTGTGTGTGCGCGCATGCGTGTGTAGTTATAAATAATGATCTAGTGATAGGTGAGATAAATGTTGCAAAACCTGAGTAGCTATTGAATCTAGGTGACAGGGATATGGTAGTTAATGTAGAATTGTATGAGGGTACTTGAAAAAGTTAATGGAAAGATTCATATTATCTTTTCATTCTATTTTTCCATTAACTTTCTGAAGTATCCTTATATTATTCTCTGTATTCTTCTTTGTACTGAAGTGTATGTTTTTAAATTTCCATAATAAATATTTTTAAATAGAAGAATGCCCTTGGGATATTTTATGGAACACTCATCCCAAGAACTACTCCATTAAAAAGTTTCAGAAGCACTCTGTGTGTGTGTGTGTGTGTGTGTGTGTGTGTGTAAAAGTTCATATTACCATGTTGAAAAGGTATAGTACAAACACCTGCTTAACTTTTCTTTTTTTCTTTTTTGTCTTTTTTCGTGACCGGCAATGGGATCGCAACCCTCAGTGTCACGCCCGCACCGCGCTCAACCAGTGAGTGGACCGGTCTCTATATGGGATCCGAACCCTCGGCGGGAGCACCGCTGCACTCCCAAGCGCCGCACTCTACCGAGTGCACCACCGGGCCGGCCCACACCTGCTTAACTTTAACTTACAGTCCTCAAAATTATTTGGACTCAGAACCTTTTATACTCCACCCCCAACAGTACTCTCTAATTGGCATCTATACTTCGAGGAATTGCAGTTCAGTAACAGATAATAAGAACTTTAATGTACCTAACAGAGAAAATAGTAAATAGTTGATGGTCTAGCTCCTCAAATAAAAATAATTAAAACCTACACTTTGACTACCTTCTGTAGATTACCACTCTCAAACCTTGCTTCAAACATCAAAGTGTTGTCACAGTTATCCACAGGCTGCTTCAAGGGTGTTCGGTTGCCCCCAACTCGGGAATACACAAAACAGGGCTCTTTGTAAGCTGATGAGAGAAGACCATAGAGATATCAAGACATGTCTAAAGCATACAGGCTATTCTGCATAAAGTTTGGAGCTATAGTACAAGCATAAGGCTTATAAAATTTAAAGTAATTTGACACAAATTTATATAGATTTATGTTGAAGTAAGACAGTCTAGAGCATTTAGACTAGAAGAGCAACACATAAAATAAATTTATATATTTCTTCCATTAAAAATATTAATTCCAGTTCTGGTCACGATGAAGTAATTAGTCCTGAAATTTCCCTTCCACTGTAAATGACTATAAAACTGGACAAAAAATATGAGCTATTTTTATGCATTTGGACAATGTAGAGTCCTTGAAAGAAGATCAATACATGAAGTGAGCCCATGTTTAGCCCTGGCTTTCTGTGTAGGGGTACTTTCTGGACTACAGTTTTGGGAGGAACACTTAAAAATAGTATGACAGTCTTGTTGAGCTGAGGAGGCAAGCTTGTTTGTTGCTTGGGGCGATTGAAATTTGTGAGGCAGGGCACCAGAGAGAAGAAAGCTTCACAGCGGGAGAGCCTCAACAGTCTACATAGTGGTGCCCCAGTCTTTGGCTGAGGGCTTGGCTACACAATCAAAGGATGACACTAAGAAAGACAGAAGACAGCACTACTGTGGGCTGAGAAATCAGAGGACACATAATTCTGGGATATATTGGAATTCCAATTCATCCAGAATGGAGAGATTTCATGGAATGCTTTAGACTCAAGAAAGGCTGCACATTAGGCATAAGGACCATTTCCAAGAGTAAAGGCTATGACCTAGGACCTAAGGTAAAATGAAAATAGACCTGCCCTTATAAAAAATAAAATAAAGCCTAAAAGAAGCAAAATGATCTGCCAGTGATTTAATTGCCTGCTAGAACAAAATTCAACATTAAAAAAAAAAAATATATATATATATATGTAATACAGACTCTCTATAGCATATCTTTGACTATGTCCTGCATATAATAATAAGAATTATAAACCATTCAGAGAAGCAGGAAAACATGATCCAAAACATCTTATATATCTCAACAGACCCAATATAACCTACATGTTGGAATTAACAGAGAAGGACTTTGAATACATGTTTGAAGACTTAAAGGAAAAGATATTGAGGAAACAGATAAGTAATCTTAAAAAAGAAAGGGGAGCTACATAAAAGAAGCAAAAATTCTAGAAATAAAAGTATGATAACTAAAAGATTTACTAGATGGCTTAATATTTAATTATTCCACACTGTATTCATAAGCCATAACATCACTTTGTACCCCATAAATATATGCAACTTTAGTTTTTAAATTTACAATTAAAAAATAAAAATTAAAAAAAAGATTGGGTTATTTGTTTTTTTTTTACCAGGTAATTCCTTGAGTTCCTTGTATATGATGGATATTGATCCCTTGTCAGATGTATAGTTAGCAAAAATTTTCTCCCACTCTGTGGGTTGTTATTTCACTCTGTTGATTTTTTCCTTTGCTGTGCAGAAGCTTTTTAGTTTGATATAGTCCCATTTGTTTATTTTTTATTCTGTTGCTTGTGCTTTCAGGCTCATGTTCATAAAGTCTGTGCCCAGACCTAGTTCCTGAAGTGTTTCACCTATATTTTCCCTCAGTAATTTTACAGTTTCAGGTCTTATACTTAAGTCTTTAATCCATTTTGAGTTGATTTTAGTATATGGTGAGAGGTGCATATCTAGTTTAATTCTTCTGTATTTGAATATCCAATTTTCCCAGCACCACTTACTGAAGAGGCAGTCTTTTCCCCAGTGTAGGTTTTTGTTGCCTTTGTCCAATATCAGATGGCTGTAAACCTGAGAGGTGATTTCTGGGTTCTCAATTCTGCTTCACTGGTCTGTCTATTTTTTATGCCAGTACCATGCTGTTTTGGTTACTATAGCTTTGTAGTATAATTTGAAGTCAGTGGTGGGACTGTAAATTAGTGCAACCACTGTGGAAAACAGTATGGAAGTTTCTCAAACAACTATAGGCAGATATTCCAGATGATCCAGCAATCCCACATCTGGGTATATACCCAGAGGAATGGAAATCATCATGTCGAAGCGATACCTGCATTCCCATGTTCATCACAGTTCTGTTTATAATAGCCAAGATATGGAACCAACCTAAATGTCCATTGATGGATGACTGGATAAGAAAAATGTGGTATATACACACCATGGAATACTACTATGCCATAAAAAAGAATTAAATTCTCCCATTTGCAACAACATGGATGAGCTTGGAGAAACTTACGTTGAGTGAAATAAGCAAAGCACAGAGGGATAAATACCACATGTGCTCACTCATAAGTGGGAGTTAAGAGAGAAAGAAGGAAGAAAAGAAAGACCACAGTGATGTGTTGGACTTCCAGAGGGAGAGAGCATATCTAGGGATACAAAGTGGAGTGGAGGAAAGGGGGATGGGGTGGGAGGTTGGGGATAATTGGGTGGGGGACAGGGGGTATAACTGCAAAATGGGCATGGTGCCAGTATGGATCTGGCCTTCACATCTTGAGCATGATGGGTGACAATCAGTTTTGTATCTCATGAATATTCATAACCAATAAAAAAATTTTTTTAAAGAAAAAAGAAAGTTTAAAGATTAAAAAAATCAGGGAAGTTTAATAAGTACAAATTACCCAAATTGAAAGACAGGAGGAAAAAAGTGAACAAATATCCAGTCACATGTGGGACATATCTAAAAATACAACATATGTGTAATTACAATTCCAAAGGACAGGAGAGAGAATAGAATGAAAAAAAATTTGTGAAGAAATAATGGCTAAAATTTTCTCAAATTTGGTGGGGAAAAACCCTATTAACCCGATGCATCCAAAAAGTTCAGCAAACTCCAAGCAGGATAAATATAAAGATAACCGAATTTAAGCACATCATAGTTAAATTGCTGAAAAGAGCCAGAGAGCAAAAGACACATCACATATAGGGAACAATAATGCAAATTACAGCTGAATTCTTACCAAAGACAACAGATGCTACAAGACAATAGAACAATATCTTCAAAAATCCAACCTATAATTCTGTATCCAGTGAGAATGTCCTTTGAAAAATGGTGGAATAAATACATAATTAGACACACAAAAAATAAAAAAAACCCCAAAAAACCCCCAAAATCGAAGAAATTTGCCAGCAGGAAAGAAATGCTAAGGAAGTTCTTCGGGTTAAAGAACAATGATGTCAGATGGAAATTTAGATCTACAAGAAGGAAAGAAGAGAAGAAACGGTCAATATGTGAATAAATATAAAAGACCATTTTTTCTTAATTTCTTCAAAGGCAACTGACCTGTTTAAAACAACAAAAAAAGTATAATATTAATTTTAAATAGACTGTGAAAAGTTAAGAATGCATACTGTAATTCTTAGAGCAACCAATATAAAAACAAGGAAAGAGGTATACTTAAGAAAATATTATAGCAATTAAAGTGAAATACTAAAAGATATTTGATTAATCTCCTCCAAAAGGGAAGGAGTAACTGAGGAACCAAAATGAGATGGGCTAACTAACAAAATAGTAAACTTAAGCCCATACGTACATATATATCTCTATGTATATATCTCTATATATGTATGTATGAAATGTAAATTAGGAAAACACTCTAATTAAAAGGTAGAGATTGTCAGACTAGATTAAAAAAAGCAAGGTCCTACTATATGCTATATACAAGAGATATAATTTAAAGACAGTTTTGTAGAAAGATTTAAAATAAAAAGGGAGGGGAGTCAACACGTAACAGTAAACGTAATAAAGCTGGTATTGGCTATGTTAATATTAAACATCATAAAGATATGGTGTAATGTCAGAGATAAAAGAAAATATTTCCTAGTGATAAATGAGACAATTTATCAAAAAGGCATTATAATATTCAAGTGTTTCAAAATGCATAAAATAAAAATAGAATTAAAGGGAGAAAAAACCCAATAATGTTAAAAATCTTAACACTCCTCTCTTAGTAATTGATAGAACAAGTACATAAAAAAATCAGTAAGGATAAGTAGATTTAAATAACTCTATCAACCATCTTGATCTAATTGACAGGTATAGAACACTACACACAACTATAGAATACACATTCTCTTCAAGAGCACATGAAATGCTCATCAAGGTACACCATGTACTGAATCAAAAACTGTCACATTAAATTTCAAAAGACCACAATGGAATTAAATCAGAAATCAGTGACAATAAGATATCTTGAAAATCCTCATATATTTTGAAATAAAGCAACACATTTATAAATAAGCCAAAGATTAAAGAAAAAGATCACAAGACCATTAGAAAATATTTTGAACTGAATGATACAGAAAACACACAATATACCAACATTTGAGGGATGAACGGAAAGCAGTGTGTATTAGTCCATTTATGTTGCTTATAACAAAGCACACGGAACTGGGTGATTCATAAAGAAAATGAAATTTATTGCCCATAGTTTCTGAGGCTGGGAAGTCCAAAGTCCATCTGGTGGTGGTGACAGTGACCCAGGCGTCTCACATTGCAAGACGGTGGGAGCAGAGAGAGCAGAGAGAAAGACAGACTCTCCTCTTTTTTTAAAGCCCTCAGAACCACGCCCCTGACCACCATTTTTAATCCATTCACTACTGCACTGTCCTACAATCCAATCACCTCTTTAAGGCTCCACCTTTCAATTACTATAATAGTATTTCCCACCCTCTTAACAGTCACAGTGGGGGCTAAGTGTCTAATACATAAAACTTGGGGGACACAACTCAAGCTTCGATGAGTTTTGGGGGGCATAATTCAATCTACTACACAGTGCTTAGGAGGAAATTTATATTTTAAAATGCTTATAGTTTTAAATGCTAGAAAAGGTTTAAAATCAGAGACTGACTTCTCAATTCTGCTTAGGATGAAGAGCACTGGAAAGAGCATTGCTCCCATCCTTGCAACAACATAAAAGTATTGCTGGACAGTGAGCAAATTCACAACTTTTCCTGCACCTCTCAAAGAGTGGTGGTTGCAGAGCAAATTTTCTAATCCACACTAAGGCACTTCCAAGGAGAGATGGGACATAGCACTAGTTTACCTGGGGCAGATTCCAGTAAGAAATATTCAGTTAAAATTTTAACCAGTTGGTAAAGGTTGACTGTGGGCTAGTAAGAGAATACAGAATCTCTGGGGAGACAAAAGGGATATACAGACATAAGGAAAGTTTGTAACCACTGCACTCTCTTCTCACAGACCTCACCAGGTACTCACAAAAAAAGGTGGCGAGAGTCCTGAGCAAGCACCATTTATGGTACAGATCTGGGGAAAAGAGAGGCAGCCACTGCAAGAAAAGCACAAAACACTACCCCAATTATTCTCCCCTATCTCCCTTTTGGAACCAAAAATGTAAATTATTGGGATAAGGAAACAAACACGGTTACCCTTAGGACATTGGTGAAAAGAGGTATTATCTGGGAAAAGAAAACATTAAAAAAACCCAAAACCCTTTACTATTGGGGAAGGGCAGGAATACACGCTGCAAGCAGACCTACAGTTGCAGATGCTGGAGCACTGAGAAGGCCTTGTTCCTGAGGATGAGGGACATTGGGCATGACTAAGACTGAGGCCTAATCTGAACAACAATGGATGGAAGATAGACTGGGCAGTGGAAGGCATGGTAGAACATGGCAAGTTGGAAAGAGAGTGAAATTGGGTTATTTTTTCCCTGGGCTTCCTCGCTTGAATGCCGCAGTTGGGCAGCTGTCTATATTTCTTTCCAGAAAGCCACAGTTGTTTGGGGGCTGACTTTTTACATCTAAAGATTTCTACCAGTCTGGAAACCATTCTGTCTTCTTACCCTTTCAGGCCTAGGAAACAAATAGTTCTGCTCTGTTGACTTTGCCATCCTTTGTTAGTCTCCCTTAACTCTGTCCCTCTTTTATAAATTTATTAAATTAAATTTCATTAAACTTTCTTGAATTATTCTGAGTATGCCATCAAATTCCTGACAAGACCTTGACTGACTCATCTCAGCTATTTAAATTTTTTATCAGATCTCATTTCAGTTATATGTGGAAGTTCTAAAGCAGGTTATCAGGTTGTATTTGAAATCAAATTTAAAAAATCAGAGGTACTTCTCTCACTCCAGTTGTTTAAAAATACGTGTCTGAGTATATGATTACTAGAATTGCTTACTATATCAGAAACAATCCTTATGAATTTCTTTCTCTTGCTAGCTCTTTAAATAAAATATGTATCTACCTGGAAGTTATCTTTAATATGCAAAAACACTAAGATATCAAACACTGATGGTAAAATTGTGCAAAAGTCCCATACTTCCTCACGTTTAATGCTGTAGCAGTACAGTTTGAGACTTCTATGTTTAGTTAGTGCTTCAGGAGCAGACAGGCTGAGACTTGTATGTTTAATTCTGAGCACACTGTATCATAAAAGCAGACATATTACATTAATAGAGATCTCAAAGTACAAATATTGATCTTGAGTGTTAAGAACACTTTCCTGAGATATAATTTTAGATGCTATTTGCAATGTGGGGTATTTTCTTCTTTTAAAAGATGACAATTCCAAGAAAGGCATCAAACAGGCATGAGATTAATAATAAAACATTTGAACAATTGCATGAACATGGAGAGGAAACAATAGTTGCAGAGCACTCCATAGGATTTATCTTTGAAAATTGTTATGAAGTATAATTCATTCTAAATATAACTCTCCATTCTAATGGCCAACATGTTTTTTATTTTAAAGTAACTTTGCCTAAATTGCAGTACACCTTAAAAAATATAATTAACACTAAATCAGCATTTGATCAGTATGCAACCAAATATCTTTATGAGGACAGGGACTTCCTAGTAATCTGAAATTTTCACTATCAACAGCAAAACAAATATAACTAAGAGATTAACCCCGATACCAAAATGTATTTTACAGCAATGTGTCTCATTATGTGCCCACCATCTTCAGCTAGATAAACCACAGTATCTTCCTTGGAGTTTGGATAAAGGGGTTCAATTTCCAGGCCTGTTGGGATATACACTGGTTCAGGATAAGGGGTCCAATCTGGAAAAGAAAGGGGTGGAGGGGAGACATTATTTGAATATGGATTCAAAATAAACAGAAAAATTTTATTGTATATTTTTAAATTCTTCATCGATCTAGGCTAAAATTCATTGTTTTATGTGGGGCTGGATTTTACCAAGGGTTGATTGGAAGTAATAATGAACATTGTCACACTATAACAAAACTTATGACATTTCATTTGCACCTTGTTCTAAATTATTATATTGAATAGTTCATGATTATTTTGCACTCATCATAGATTTTATACTACAAATTCAATTTCTCCTGAGTCCTTGATGCCATTCTATCCCACCTCTGGGATCTTGCTCTACCTTTTATTTTTCCTTTCCTGGCATCTCCAGCCTCTTGCTTGATAATGGCTGTCCCTTAAGCTTATAAGTATGTTCAAACTTCTTCTATCTCCCCAAAGAAAGGTTATCCTTAGACCCCTACCTTCTCCTTTAGTTACCAGCTTTCCTTTCTTCATTCTTTCTAGGACCAAATTTCTTAAAAGTTGTCTGCACCATACTCAAATCTTTCTGACCACGACCAATTAGATAGTACAAAAAAATGACTTCACAGGCTAAATGCCCTAGTTGTTTGTATTTTTTAGTGGAATAAGAATTTGGTGATGAGAAACAAATATTACTGACTAGACATTTTGGGGATTATGTGTAGATCTGCTTCAGCAACAGAAGTGTACTGACATAATGAATGGGGGTCAACTCCAGCTACAGAAAAAACAGACTACCAAATTGATGTAAATATGCATCACTGTGCATTGCAGAGTTAACTGAACAACACACAGCCAAATAAATTGATAATAATAAAGATAGGCAATAAAGATTATAATTTAAAGGTGAGACTCTCAGTTGAAAACCTTAACTCAAGCCCAAATTATGAACTGATAACAGCTTCCATTCTAAAAACTTTGGTAGTTCCAGCTATTTGCCTCTGTGTGTGCTGATTGTCAAAAGTTGCATGACATCCAGACTTCCCAGTTAAATAAATAGAGATTTCATTAGTCTCTACATATGTTCTTAAATTATTAATAGTCCTTATTGTAAAGAAACATGGAACTCTATCATTAAAACTGGAGAAAGAACTTGTATAAGGGTCAAGCTTGCAGTTTATCACAGTACCCTTTATTGGGGACTATATTCTGGTAATTAGGCTTAACCCACACCTCAACTTAGCTTTTGCTCCTTTTATTCCCAAACCCACTGTTTCACTAAAACTGCTCCTTGCATTGTATTTGAAACAATTAGGTACTCAGTTAAATGTCTATAGATTAAAGGTGTGGATTAACAGACAGATGGATGGGAGGACGGAGAGATAAATGGATGGATGGTTGAACAACTCAGATGGGGTTATCCACATACTCCTTAAATTTAAGTGATGTAATAAAGACATGTTGCCATAAATGTTTTATGTCTAACAAAATGCTACTCTAGAGCTAGGATTATTTAAGCAGAAGAGATTTGGGCTAGAAATGGAAGGATTTTCAGATTTTCTGAGTACTCCACATTAAGAAATTTCATCTGAAATGGACTTAAAAGATCAATATGAATTCCTGATATAGACACTCCTTGGTTGTTATCCAGTGATAGCTTTTGCAGGTGTCTTTAAGTTAAGTAGCTTGGAAATTTCTGTATTCTTTTAGAATCGTCATTATCAGAATCTTCTACCAGCCTTGTTGATGTCTGCTATCCAAAAAACTGCTTGAAGGTGGTGGTTATCACTGTCCCGAGAGAACCCAGATGTCTGTGCATAACAAATGTGCTGTTTCCCAGTTCTCTCAAAGCTGCAAACTCTTGAGGTGCCAAATGACACTGCATTCTTTTGCGTTCTCCTTGGATTAAAGTCATGTTCCCAGAAGAATGGAGACTGTGCTTTAGCATTTACTATGTCATATGAGCACTATATCAATGCTGTTTGTGCCATCATGTCTCGTGCATCACCTTGAGAGATTTTTTTACTTTGGCTTTCAGTTCCTTTGTCCATAGGTCTTAGGAGCAGTTCAGAAGGCTAATATCTGAGAAAATACCCTGACCTCTGCCATACACCATACACTTCATTTTCTTTTAAGGAAAAAACAAAACAAAACAAAACAAACCCAACAAAACTCTTTTGGAAAGGAAGACTCCTTGAGGCCCTAACCACAAGTGTAGCAGACAGGCCTAGACATGTCTGAAATGGCTTCTATTCAAGCTAGAACCCCTACACAAAAGTAAGTTTAGAATGTTACTCATAAGAATAGCAAACATTTTGTTTTAAAGCTTTCTGTCTGTGTGGTATTTTCTTTCCTCTTAACCCTCCTTTATCTGATTAGTTTGTGTTGAGTTCCACATCTGTGAATAACACTGTTTTTTGATAACAGCAGAATATCGGTCTCGGAAAGTTAATAATGCATATTTAGAAAGTGTCTTCATGATGGTAAATGCAAAGCTGTGGGATACATTTATTTGTACTATATCAGTCATCCTCTTATGGAGATTAAAAGTTTCCAGGACTGAATCAATCTCTTCTAGCATTGATTTAAAAGCCTAACTAGGTGACAAGGATAGTCCATTTTCTGTATCTTTTTTCACTTGGGTACTGCAGGACATTTTGTTATCTGCCTTCATGTCTACCTTTGGTTGATACCACTTTTTGATCACTGATACATGGTACATGCAAGTGATTGTATAAAAGAGATGTCCAACAGTCAGGGAAAATCCCAGGAGTAATAAAAGTTCTGAATTAAACATGCTTAATTTGGAATGATTTTGATAAGTAATTATTATTATTATTATTTTTTCCTTTTTTGTCTTTTTTACTGACCGGCAATGGGATCGCAACCCCTCAGTGTTGCGCCCGCACCACAAGCGGGAACCAGTCTCCACATGGGATCCGAACCCTTGGCGGGAGCACTGCCGCACTCCCAAGCAGCGCACTCTCCAGTGCGCCACCGGGCCAGCCCATAAGTAATTATTTTTAATCAAACATGTTTATTATATAAAAATTAAAAGTATAGCTTAAGCAAAAAGAACAAAATAAAAATTATCCATAATGTCATTACACAGAGATAAATATCAACATTTGGTTTCACTTTTCAGGTTTCTCTCTTTCCTCCATCCAGTTAAGATGCTTTTGGCTACAAGTAACAAAAAAGTGTTTTCCTCCCTGGTGCTGAAGCAAAAAAGACGAGGGGTTAGCAGAGAAGGGGTGGAGATCAGGGTACAAGGTCTGCAAATTTCACTTTTCAGGTTTCTCTCTTTCCTCCATCCAGTTAAGATGCTTTTGGCTACAAGTAACGAAAAAGTGTTTTCCTCCCTGGTGCTGAAGCAAAAAAGACGAGGGGTTAGCAGAGAAGGGGTGGAGATCAGGGTACAAGGTCTGCAAAGTTAAACTAGGAGAGAGATGTCCTACACTGCAGAAGATAAGTATATATCTAGTTATACCCAGTTGAAGAGATCTTTGTAAAGAAGTGATTCTTGTAAGTATTATTAAGCATGAATTCTTTAATATATTTTTAACCTTATCATTTTGGAATTCTTGGGGAAAATTAACTTTGTCCTGTATGAGCAAAAATCAGCGTTTTTCCCTCCACATCCACTCCACCAAATATACAGTCATGTGCCACATAACATTTTGGTCAATGATGGATTGCATATATGATGGTGGTCTCATAAGATTATGATAGCTATACCATATAGCCTAGGTATATAGTAGGGTATACCATCTAGGTTTGTGTAAATACACTCAATGATGTTCACACAATGATGAAATTGCCTAATGAGGCATTTCTCAGAAGGTATCCCCATCATTAAGCAATGCATGACTGTATTTCTGTATACCAGACAGTGTAAGGAGAAAACTTAGTTTTTAACTACTTCTCAGTAACATCTGATTTAAGTAGGCACTATAATAAGTACAGACAGTTTTTAATTCTGTTCACCAATTAATGTCTATAACATTTCCACCTCGCAATCACGTATGTGTACGTGCTACAATCAACAGAAGGTGAACAGCAGTGGCAGTGAGAAGGTGGTCGATGACGGACACGTTTCTATCGTGCCTGTGTGCGGATTGAGGAGATAAGGCTGTAAGCTTTATCTGCGAGAGTAAAAAATAAATTCAGGAACGTACACATACAGAAATGCAAAAATATACACTAAAATATGTACTCTTCGGTTCCATAAACATCCTTTATTAAAGGAAAGAAGTAGAAAGTAGGAAAGGCAAAACAAAAACAAAATGAACAAACAAAAAGCAGAGACAAAGAGGCATAAAGAGATAGAAAATAAAAGAGTAACGGAAATTGAAAAAGGGAAAAAGACAGGAAGAGACAAAAGAGGATAAAGATACACTGAGGTGAGGGAATGGATATTCTGGCCTAGCCTCTGTGACTTCACTCTACATATGAGCTTGACTGTGACTGAATGCTCTTGTGCTGTTTAGAACTGTTTAGAATTACTAAAGCTTCAGGGGCTAAGCACATGCTCTAAGCCTCTTTGCTTAAGCACATGTGGCTATTGAACAATTGAAACATGGCTGATCTGAATTGAGATTTCTGGAAGTATAAATGCACACCAGATTCTGAAGACTTTGAACAAAAAGAAAGAATGTGAAATATTTTGGGTATTATTGGGTTAAGTAAAATATATTAAAAAAATTAATTTCACTTATTTCCTTTTTGAACGAGGCTACTAGAAAATTTAAAATTATATATGAGGCTTATGTTACATTTCTGTTGGAATGCACTGTTCTCACACCATGCATCTCTCATGAAAATAAAGGTTGGCAAAGTCAGTTTGCTAATGTTTGAATCCCAAAAACTGCTAAGAACATACCAATATGCTGGACTTTTTCATCAATGACCTCACAGTGGTATGGCCACCGTGTTGGGCTCAGTGGACCAGAAGAAGAGACACCATATAAATCTCGTGGTTCACGAAGGCGTGGCACCCATCTCCCTAGCTGATACTCCAATAGTATCTGTGTAGTCCGAGGGATGAATGGGTCACCAGTAGAGTCAGCTGCAAAAAAGATTCAAACACAATCTAAGTGATAAGAAAGAAAATCCCAATTCTTAAGCTTTTTTATATAGTTCCTCTTTTCCTTCCAATTTTATTAGATATGTAAATATTCATGAGTATAATTATAAATATTTTACAATTCATGGCATTTTAAAAATAAAAGTACTAATGAAATTTTGTGACAATAGGCTTTCACAATAGCTAAAAAATGGCTGTTGACCTTGTATACTATTAATTTGTGCTAAATTCTCACCATCACTCAAAACATTTGTTTCTTGCAGCTTTTCTAGGAAATCATCTATTTTCTGACTCTTCTTAAACTTAATCACACTGCTTAATGAGTTAAATACACTCACTGACTATAGTTCCTCACCACTGACTGGAACTATATTCTCAAAGGTTGCTAATAAACTCTCAGTCACAACCTTTTCTCAGTTTTCATTCTAGGGCCACTCTGACACAATCGCAGGAACAGATTTACAGAAAATACAGTGAGGCTGCCCCAAGCAGGCAGTGCAGTGGTCCTATCTCTTTCAGTGTGAAAACTGTGTGGTATCAATTTTATGTTAATGATCACTCTTTCTTACACTCATTTCCTTTTTTTTTTATGATACTGTGTTCCTTGGTTTTCTCTCTACTCTTCACATATTTTTCTCCATTTGTCTCACTGACTCCTCTTGCTCTTCCACCTACAAAATGTGGCTTTTCGTCTAGATTAAGCTCGTGGCTATTTTTGTACAACAGCTTATACAGCAATTGAACTAGAAGTCAGATAAACTGGGTTCTGTTCTACTACTTTATGTGTGGTTTTGGTTGGGCGAGGCAGCCTCTTTGAATATAAATGTTACTTTATATAAATAATAACACCTTCTCTAGCTACTTCTCAGGGTTGTAATATAGATTCATTCATTCAACAGATAGTTATTATGCATCTATTATGTGCCAAAAACTATAAACAGACCCTGACTATACAGAGGTGAAAAAAATAGACAATGTCCCTGCTATCATGAGTTTACTATAGAGTATGTAGAACATACTATAAATAGAATAACAAGATAATTTCAGTGGTGAGAAATGCTACAAAAGAAACAAAACAGAGAAATATAAATAATAGTAAGAAATGAGCGGGGGGGGGGGGGGCGGTGCTACTTTAGATAGGGTGGTGAGGCAAGAATTTTTTGAAGAGATAACACCTGAGGTGAGACCTGAATGATGAACTCAGCCCCGGAGTAAAAGACTGCTCTGGACTTGCCCTAACAAAGCTGAAAAGCAAGCCTAGAAGTAATGAAACTTATCCACAAGCAACTTAACTGCATATCAGGAAAAAGCCCAATATTCTTTAACAGAGTACAACAAAATCCAGCAATCAACATGTAAAATTCACAAGTGTGTCATTTGATTAAAAGTTTATGGACAAGAGTTCTAGTCCCACTATAGTAGCATGTCTTATACAGGCTTTCTCTCCCACTTATTAACACTAAACTCTAGATAAAATACAAAAACACAAGTACCCAACAGGTCTGAAAAGTAAACAAAGTGAGCAAAGTAGAAACTGAGAGGACACCCCATAAGAAGATGAGTGTACCCCCCCCCCCAATTTTCTCTCCCTGCCTTGCTCTGAAGGCAAGTTACATTCAGAGCAGTGCAGTGGTGCAAATGGCTGAATCTCAGACAGAAACCCAGTCTTCTTAACAGAAGAACCATGAAAAGGGGTCCTCACAGGATGGAGGGAATCTGAAAGGAAGAAACCAGAGAATGGGATCTGCTAATCCTGTGTGCGAATCCACACAACCTTCAGCCTATCCCTCAAGCTATGCAAGCAGACAGATTCTCAAAGACCATGAGAACCACACACAAAGTGTCTCAGCTCAATCCTTGAACTAGGCATGTGGAAGATATTTGCAAAGGAATGCAGAAATATCTTAGATAACTAAGAGATTTGAATCATCTGTACAAGTCTCAGAACCCCTGAATTACTCAAGCAGGGAGAGAAACAAATCAGCATAACCAAAGTTAAGATCCGAACTGAGACTCGAAACACTACCCACAGAAGGGGAGACAGAACTTAATGTCTGAAACTAACTGGGTTGATTGCCTGTTAGAAGAAAAATATTGGCACTGTCCAGATGGACCCAGAATCTATACAATGTGGCACTTATAATGGAAGAACCAGGAATATAATCAGTTTTCAGGTGAAAAGACAATCAACAAATGTCAGCATCATACACTTAGCATACAACCCAACTATACCATTCCTAGGAATTTACCTAAGAGAAATGAAAAAAGTTCTCACAAGAATTATGTACGAAACATTTGTAGGAGTTTTGTTTGTAACTGACCCAAACTGGAAAAAATCTAAATGTGCATCAGTAGATGAATGGACAAATTGTGGTTTATTCACATAATGGAATACTACTTAGCAATAAAAAGGAATGAATTACAGTTACATGCAACACTGTGGATAAATCTCAAAAGCATTATGCTAAATGAAAGAAGACACAAGACATAAAATGCATAATTCTGCTTTATGAAATTCTAGAAAAGCTAAATAGAGTGAAGAGAAAGAAAACCAGTAGTTAGTTGCCTGGAGCCAGAAGTGAAGGCTGGAAGGAGAGGATTGACTCAAGGAGGCACAGGGAATGTTTGGGGTGATAAAAATATTTTACATCTTGATTTTGGTGATGTTTAAACAATATACCATTGTGAAACTCCATTGACCTGTACTCTTAAAATGGGTGAATTTTATTGTATGTAAATTAAAAACAGATTTTAAAACGCAGAATCTCCTTAGCCCACCATTCAGGTAGCATGAGTAAAAATACAGCAGCTCAAATGTAGAAAGCAGTAGTTTAATATTACTCTGCATCAGCAAGACCACCTCTGAAATACAGTAATAATCATAAAATTATTTTAAAAATCAAACACAATAGTGTTAAAATAATTAATTGGGAGGTCAGTAGACTGAGGTGGTTCCAGTGCCCTGTGTTCTACTTCCTATACAAGCGCCCTTAGGTAGACCCTCTAAACCACTTCTAGTTTTAAACTGCCCAATTTATGAATTGCTACCTGCTCAAGTAAACTCTTTAAAATTTTAATGTGCCAAAGTTTATCTTTTAGTAATAGTTTTTACCTAAATTGGATCATCTTAAACATATTCTTCTGTGACTTTTAGTTAACATATATCTTGGAAAAATGTCCATGTCAGTAATAAAGATATTCCTCTTCTCCCCAGATGCATAGTATAATATACATCTTGAACATATGACCTGTAATTTACTTAACAATTCCCCTGTTGATGGATATTTAGATTGTTTCTTACTTTTGACTCAATTAAGAAAGAATTACCAAATACTAAAATATCAAATTTAAAGCTACTACAATTTTCAATATGACAGTGATTCAGGAACAGATAAGTGATCAATGAAACAGAGTGGAATCCAGAAATGGATGGATGGAATTTACTATATGATAAAGGTGACATGTCAATTGTGTAATAAAGGTGAAATTTCAAATCAGTGGGAAAAATGACAAACTTCAATAAATAATGCTATGGACAACAAAATAGCAAGGCAGCCATTTATGAATTAGGAAATAAAATTAGATCCGTACCTCATATTACTCATAAATAGAAATGATATAGGAATTAAATACCAAAATTCAAACATAAAATTACTTAAACAAAATTCAGATGATGATATTAATGACCTTGGGGTACAGAAGGCCTTCGTAACTTAAGCAAGATACAAAAATAGAGCCACAAATAAATACTGATAAACTTAACCACATCAAAATAATTCTAAACAATGGAAGAAACACAAACAAAATTAAAAGATTACTGTGAATGGGCAATTCAGACCAAGAAGGAATATAATTAGACAATAAGCCTATGAAATAATTCTCAATTTCTTGCACTATCAAGGAAATGCTAGTTAAAACAGTGAGTTACCTCGTTTTTAGTACTATAAAATTTCTATGAGTATGGGTATATGAGGGCACTTCAAAAAGTCTGTAGAAAAACAGAATTAAAAGATAATACAAATCCTTCCATGAACTTTTTCAAGACCCCTTGTAGATGTATGAATAAATGCAAAGAAAAAGGTCTAGAAAGATACACACCAAACTGAGAACAGTGGTTATCTCAGAAGGGAAGATTTGATGAACAGAGAGAAGGAGATATGAAGGCACAGAGAAGTTATCTACAAACCAAGGAGAGAGGCCTGGAACAGATCTTTCCCTCACAGTCCACAGAAGAAACAGCCCTGCCAACACATTGATCTTGGATTTCTAGCTTCCAGGACTGTGAGAAAGTCCCTGACTTCCCCCAGCCAGGCCAGCAACAGAGCCAGCCAGCCTCCCCACTTCCCTGGGCCCTAAGATGGGGTGGTGGGCCTCAGCCCTGCCCCCAATTGCAACAGGACAGCAACCTTGGATCCCCCTGGTCCCCCCACCCCTGCACCACCTGAAGTAACATCTTAGAATGTACTTAAACACGTGTGTTTCTTTAGGGTGTGTGACTTATTGTGAAGTATGCATAAAACAAATGTACTTCACAGGGCCTCGTTTTCCAAAGCCTTGCAGTTTCAAATATTGACCTTGCAAAGGACAGGAAATTTTCCCCAGGCTATATAGTCTCTGTTGTAAGATAAAGAATTGCAACACAGCAAGGTTGGTGGCTCAAAGACAGACAGGTTACTGATTGATATGTAAAGATACTGGGAGATTGCTGTTAAGAAGAGAATGTTTGCTAAAATCAAGCTTTTGTTAGTGGATCAACTTAATTGCATTATAGAATGTCACCTTACTGAATGTTACCAGCTTCTGTTGTTAAACTTGTTAAAATGTACTTAGCAAAAACCCCACCTATGTTCTCTTCCTGTAACTTCCTGGTCTGGAGAATAAATGTGGGAAGAGAACCCCAATTCGTGGTTAATTTCCCAAATGGAAGGAATGCCTCTATCTTGAGGGTTCTGGGAGATTAACTCCTTTTTGGGGCTTCTCACTGCTCAGAAGAGATTGGCTTTGAGTAATCTTTGGCGGCTCCATCACCCAGGGGAAAAGGGGTGACAAATCCGTGGGAGGCAAAGCAACAACTTATCTGCTCATGTCCTTCACCAAATTTCTGATTAGATTTTTCTACTTCATTTTTAAGAGTTCTTCTTGCATTAAGAATGTTAATCTTCGTATGTTAAATTTGTTCCTTATTAATTGACCTTAAAATTAGAGATGTTTTCCTTCGTTTCTATGTTGAGAAATAATTTTCTATCTAAACATTAAATAAAATAAAAATAAGCAAATAAATAAATAAAGGGAAGATTTGTTTTAAGATGGTGTTAAAAAGACCCGAAAAAAAAAAAAAAAAAAAGAATAAAAGAAAGAAAAGACGAAGGCTTTAATTCAGATTATCTGATAGATATTTAATAGAAATATTTTAGAATTTGAAAGTACAACCCTAAATGTATAAAATTTAAAAAATCAAATATACATGAATATGCCTACATATGTGTACACTTGCAATGAATGACTTTATTAAGAAAACTCTTCTTACAAGCATACTTCATTTAAATGAAGATGTACTTCTAACACATTGTGTCCATTGTAAATGCATTTAACGAGCTGGTTATTAAGTGAAGTCCTTTGTAAAGTAATTACCACTTTCATTTGGTTTCACTTATTACTTTCTAATATCAATCAGGTTTACCTAAAGCAAATCTGAAAAGGTTGAATTCCAAAAGATTCTTACAAAAATGGATACATTCTTCTCTCCCTACCCACCAGAATAATTATTCTCTATATTACCCAATCTGAGGTTTTTTTTTTTTTTTAGTTTCTTATTCTTATTTTTTATCCATTAGAGGTCTTACGATAAAAGGAAGAAAAAATACATGGGTAAGTTCAAACCTGTTAAAAGTGCACATGGATGAAAATCTTCACTTACAAATTTCATAAACGTATCCTCATCCTAAAACAAGAAAATTTTCAAATATTTCTCTTTTAAAAATCAACAATTTCTGAATCCAGAAGTTTTTTACATCTATCATAATACTTGGAATTGAGTATATGTTTTTAATATTTAATAAATAAGAAAATTAAAGGAATAAGAAAATTATGTGATACAGGTCTCAAAGCACCCAACACTTTAAATATCTGAAATCTTAAACTTTGCATCTTTCATTCCTCCTCTTCTACTGGGTATGATCATAATAGTGACTGTAGAGAAGGATTCTTGGTAAACTTGGGAAAACAATTTAAGAATAAAATTAACAAAAGAAAGAAAAAAAGAAACACAGAAACCCATAGACTTAAAGGATTACACATCATTTTGGAGAGTTTATTTTGGAGCCTTAATTTATATACACGATAATTTGTATTTTAATAACATTTTAAGGAAATCTCTTAGAAATATGTACTAGAACCAGACAAAATATGTTTAAATACTACATTTCTCCCCCCTTTTCTTCTTCCTGTCCTTTCCTTTGTGACATCAGAGCCACATTAAACCTATTATGGTGTACACAGTAGGGTTAGAACATAGATGGTTCTAGCATAATATATACTGTGATGTAATGCAATAGAATTGTTAAATTTAAGAAAATAAGTGCAGGAGTTATAAAGATAAAACCCTAATAATGATTTAATACACACATTTAAATAATACCCAGAAGAATCTTAGCCAACATATTTTCTCAAGAAAACAGTACCAATGTAGTTTCTCTTTCTAGATACGGTATACTGCACACAGTAATATCTTGGCTTTTTCAATCAGATTTTTTTCCAACTACACTGATAATGATTTAAACATCCAATTAATTTTTACATCAAATGGATTTTATATTTTATAACAAATTTTATCTCAAATTAAGTAAAATAAAGTTGAGAAAAACATACTGATTCATCTTCATCACTGATTGTTCTGTCTGAATACTCTTCCTTTTCTGAATCTTCTGACATCTCTTCCAGTGTATGGCTTGAAATTTTTCTTATTATGTGGGTAGGCTGTAAAACAATTTCTGAGGAACTTATTTGATAGCTGAAGGTGTTTATTACATTAATAGAGTAATCAAAAATATATTCAATTGTATTTAATTAACAGTGACAGCAGTCTTCTCTAAAAACCAAATTAATTAGGATTCAGCCAATTAAACCTTCAATTTCAAAGATTTGAAGAAATTTTCCATTACTTTGAGAATGAGACAAAAATCACAATAAGACAAATCAAGTAAATAATTTAATTGAAAAAGGAACTTCCAGAGTACACAGCCAAATCCTCCATTCTACGTTTACAATTAAATGCTACACAGCAATAGCAAGTTCAGAATTATCCTGAGGCATTAAATGAATGAATTAAGGAAAAATCAGAGTTACTTATTCAAGGCAGTAAAATGTTGCAATATTGTTTTAAGTTTTTTTCCTCTTTAATTGACCAAAAGTTCAAATGACTAGACTTTTCTCTTTATATTTCAATATTATTCTGTAGATACTGCTTCTATTCTAATATTCAATTACATTGTTCTTAGTGAAATCTCAATAGCTACCAGAAGGTTGTATTGGCGATGACCATTACCCCTCCTACGCCAAGTATCCTCCTACGTGGTTATTACTAAGACAACGGGACAATCGAAATCCCTTGTGAAGGTTCCATAGCTTTGGAGAGACCGAAGGAATTTATCAATTTCAAAATTCGTTTATGACGCTTTCTACGCAAAGTGTGTTTTGGAGCGTGGACTACATAGAAGAAACTCCAAGCTCCAAAGCAAATAACTACAAATGCAACAGAGAAAACCGTCTTACAGGCGACAGCTTCAGCATGAAGACACTGAAGTTTCAGCCTGGGGATCACAACTCCAGATGTGGGAAGCCAGATTAGCATAAATCTCGATTCTTCTTCCTTACACGTGCACCTGAGGCATACTAACGTGCTGACCTGCTGTGGAATCAAACCTGAGCTTCAGCAAAGCCACACACACAGATATGCAACGGGCGCTCCGTGGGAGTCTTCCACGTCCCAAGCAGAAGAGCCCCGAGGGCAGACACGACGGCTTCCTTGGGAGGAGCACGATTAAACCGCAATGCGGGTGGGCAAAGTCTTCCTCCCACACTCACTTCTGGACACCGCAGTGGGGGCGCCCCGCCTCCAGTCTCCCCTTCCTTCTCGGCTCTTCGGCCGGCTCCTCGCCCCGCCCCGTCCCGAATCCTAAGGCCAAGCCAGTCGTCCCTTCCATGCGGGGAGAATAGCTCGGGAGACGCCCAGCGTCCAGCAACTGGAAGGAATTGCCATGCGGGAGTTCAGCAGCACAAGCCACACCCTCCACCAGGAGGGCAGGCCCCTCGTTACCAGGGCAACGAGCCGACCCTCGCGAGACTTAGGGCCACCCTCGGGAATCACCTAGCGACCAGCGTGGAGAAAATGAGCCTGCGCGGGATTTTGAGGAGAACACCAGGAGGGCAGGCCCCTCGTTACCAGGGCAACGAGCCGACCCTCGCGAGACTTAGGGCCGCCCTCGGGAATCACCTAGCGACCAGCGTGGAGAAAATGAGCCTGCGCGGGATTTTGAGGAGAGGAAGAGAAAGCCTGGAGGATGACGCGAAGTAGGGGCAGGTCCGCAAGGCGGGCGGAGAGGATCCTGGGAGGTTGGAGCTCCGAGGTCTGGCGGGAGAATTTAGGAGGGGGGAAGGCGGGGCAGAAAGGTTATTCCTCCCTTTCCGCATGTCAGAGAAGGCCGTCGTTCCGAATTGCTCGCTAAGAGCAATTGGTGCTTTGGAGGCCACCTGACCATAACAGTGTGACTTTGGGCAAGTTAAGTTTCTGAACTTAAATTTCTTTATCCGTAAAATGGATATAATTGTAACCACTACTTGGAGTTGTTAGAAGATTAAAAGTATGTTGATCTTTATTTGTACATTCACTGAGTTCCATTCTGCGCAATTGTGTGACTCATGATCTTTATTCAATTATGGAAAACGAGACTTTTCTTCTTAAATCCTTGATGGAGGAGTCATGGATACACTAGGGTGAACTCTCAAAATTCTCATTAGCTCGGAGATTCTTTAAATATAATAATCGTTAGCTAATGAATCGAACACTCGCTGTGTTCCGGGCACTGCAGGTCACTTTGTATGTCTCATCTAAGTATGATCTTCTCGTAACAGACATTATTCGTGTACATCCCGTCTTGATTGTTTCCCTAACCTTTAGCTCTGGGGTATAATTTAATATGTTTGGAACAGTTTACCAAGTATAGCTGAAAAAGAAAGTGCCTAGGTGTTTGGTGCCTGCTTGAGACATTATATGCCATGAGATTCGTGATGTGGAAGTGGTGATAATGTACTGTAGCAAATTTGAAAGTAGAACAAAGGGCAAAGCACTATGGCTTAAACATGGAAATGGGTTAATATCTCTTTAAATTTTGTAAGTTTCCAAAAATAAGTGGGTTTTTTTTTTTGACGTTAGCAATTTAGAAGTTTGGATCTTCCAGATTAGACCTTGGCCTGAGAAAATAAATAGAGCATATCTTAGATCAAGTTCTCTTGAAAAATAGGCTTTATAGTTCTACCTTGTTCTATACCATACATACATCACTAAAGGTGACATGCACAGAGAATCTTTACATATGGAATCTATTTTTCTGTTGGATTTTAATTATTGTTGCAAGCCACAGAATGTCAGATGCACAGGTGACGTGCTGAGAAATGATCTAACTGGGTTATATAAGAAATTAATGACAGAGTTGTACTTAAAGTCTCATGATTTTTAGTCCAAATATTTACATTATCATTTTTCAAAAAATCCTTGTAAAGAAAATTCTTACTGCATAATAAAAATCTTAGGGATTCAACAAAACTTTGAAAATCATATTCATTATTTCAACAAATTTGTATTGAATGCCTACAACATGTGAGGGACTGTTCCCAGTATAAGACTCACAGGGAACAAAACAGACATTCCTCATGAGGTTACGTTTTAGTGGGGGTAAACAGATTAATAATAATAATAATAATAATAATAATAATAATGACCACTCAGGCGATGATAACTGCTATGGAGAGAAATAAAGCAGGGAAAAATAAAGGGTGCAGGGAGTGCCGGGGGGTGGGTGGGCTTCTGCAGGGCTGCTGTTTTAGATGGAGTGGCCAGGGAGGCCTCTGACCAGGAGGCATTTGAGCAGAGGGATGAACCATAATAAGGATGTCTAGGGAAAGACCTTGCTGAGCAGGGGAGGCAGCAAGAACAAACGCTCTGAAAGAAGATTGTTATGAATTATACTAGGCAGTACTGTTTTGCCAAAGCTTAGCTGGAGTCAGTATCATTTTAAGGAAGGAGATTTCATGAGGACTTCTTTCTTCCCCAACCAAATTTGAAATGGTTTTCTTTAGCACCTGCTTCTTTTTAAGTTTTTTTTTTTTTTTTAACTTTCCTATTCCAGAAGTAGTATGTACTGGGAGTGAAATTCTTTGCCTTTAAGTTAAGATGGAAGTAAGGCCTGGAGTAATTTCTACCAAGCTCTTTCAGTCTGCATTTGTTGTTCCTCTTCCCTATGATCTAATCAGAGGTTACTGGACAGACCCCTTGTATGGCCAGCTTCTGCCTTCGGGAAGGCACCGTTACCGCTCCAGCAAATTTTCCTTCTTTATTTTTTTGGTAGTTTACTCCAAGTATAAAAGGCAATATAAAAAGTAAGAAAAGAGGAGAAGACAACCAGAACTATAACTCAAAAGGCGCAATTGCTGGTGTGGGAATCAAGAAGGAAGTTCATTTTAGCAACATGGCCAAATGTAAGTTGTGTTAGGAATATATTTTATTTTGTGTAATCATTTTTAATTTATTGAGCAGAGGTGAAACTGAGAATATGAAATGACTAGGGCAATCAGTTATTGATGACATCATAGAAATGAGTTGCCTTAGAGGTCTTGTCTCATTAGGCTGAGGAAGCCATACGAAGGCCTGGGAGCCCTGGGGTAGTCTAGAAGCTGTCTTGGCCTTTTTCAGACTGTTTGGGTCTAGGATGCTCCAGTATAGGGACAAACCTCTCAAACTGTTCTCAAGCTTGTATCTTGAGATCTGTTTCAGCCAGTTGACTAACCAAGACTCAGCTCAAGGGCCATTCCCATAATGACACCTTTCCTTATCCCTCTATCAGCAGTAGAATTAATTGTATTTGGGGACTGCAGCGAATTAATCATTACCCTTAGCATTTGGAAATGAGGTAGTAAAAATGTCCTCTGCCTGCTCAACAAATAACAGGATAAAACACCTCATCCAGTCACCTTATACTCATGATTGTGGTTTATTACACTGAAAGGGTATGGATTAAAATCAGCAAAGATAAAAGGCACACATTGGGCAGAGCCCAGAAGAGAATAAATGGTTCCCAGACTCAGTGTGAAGTCTCATGACAAAAAAACGTGAAATGGTCTCCTCCGCTCCTCAGTAATTGTCCTTGAACTGTGCAGTGATGAAATCCTCTTTCTCACTGAGGACATACTGGCCAGATTCCATAATTTTCAACTACTTGCAACTTCTAAAACAGTTTCATTTTGGTATTAAAGTTTCCATTCTGTGATTTGGTATTTAGATTTGGTTTTAAGAAGTTCATTGTAAGCTTCAATTTCAAACTCAATTTGAAGTCCTCTTTCTCCCCACCCCGCCAGAGCAGCCTAGATCTGTTTCTAGCTCTGGTGGATTGGGCTATGGGAGGGAGGTTGGTGTTTTGCTATTTATATTTATCCCCTCTTCTTTCTGGGTTCTAGTTCATTGCTGTGTTAGGATGAGGAGGGGCTGGGGAATGGAAAGGGCAAAGGTCTCCTTAAGTGGGCCAAGTTACAGTCTGCGTAGCTGGTCTCAAGTGCTGTTCACGCTCTTTGTGAACTTCACGGGGAGAGCAGTGGTTCCGACCTGTCCTCCCCGCAGGCGGCTCTCTTCAAGGCACACTCCTAGGCAATAATGTCTGTGACAGATTGTGAGGGGTGGAGGGGAAATAATGGTTAAAAGTATGGGCTCAGGAGCCAACTGCCTGGGGTAAAATATTCTGCCACTCAACAGCCATATGACCGTGGGCAAGTTTTTAAACTTCTTTCTACTTCAATTTATTTACCTGTAAAGTGGGTATAATACAGTAGTACCTATCTTGTAGGGTTGTTGTGAGGATTAAATGAGTGATAACATGGGGCCGGCCCGGTGCGCCACTTGGGAGTGCAGCGGCGCTCCCGCCGAGGGTTCGGATCCCATGTGGAGACCGGTTCCCGCTCACTGGCTGAGCACGGTGCAGGCGCAACACCGAGGGTTGCGATCCCGTTACCGGTCAGTAAAAAAAAGACAAAAAGGAAAAAAAAAAATGAGTGATAACATGTAAATTTCTAAGCACTCTCATGTTATTCACGCATATAACTTGTGAGGGGGCAGGTCAGAGCCACCACTCTCATGGCATAGGGTAGTGGTTTTCAAAGTGTGGTCCATGAGACCAGCTGCATTAGCATCACGTGAGAACTTGTTAGAAATGCAAATTCTCAGGCCCCACCCCAGACCTACTGAATCAGAAACTCTGTGATGGGGAAATCTGTGTTTGAACCAGCCCTCCAGGTGGTCCTGGTGCACCCTAAATTTTGAGAACCACTGGCATGGGGATTAACAATGTGGTCTCTGGAACCAGGATATGTAGTTGTGTGATCTTGGGTAAGTCCTTAACCTCTCTGTGCCTCAGTTTCCTTGTAAAAAGGGGATATAATGGCCCCTTCCTGATAGGATTGTTTTGAGGATTAAGACAGTTAAAAAAGTGTTAGGCCATAGTAAGTGCTCTCATTCTGTTGTTTCATTGACAACCTTTGAAACACACATTCTCACAAAGAGGGCCCAGGGTGAGAGAGAGACTAAAAAAGTGTTAGGCCATAGTAAGTGCTCTCATTCTGTTGTTTCATTGACAACCTTTGAAATACACATTCTCACAAAGAGGGCCCAGGGTGAGAGAGAGAAGGTGCTACTCAAAGTTTGGTCTCCAAAGGAGCAGCAGCCACTGCAGCATCACCTGGGGAGCCTATTAGAAACGCAAAATCTCAGGCCCCACCCCAGACCTACTGTATCAGAATTTGCATTTAACACAGGCGTTACTTTGAGTAGCACGGGGGTATTATACAACTCTATACCTACTGAATAAGAATTTCCTGGGAGTGGAACCTACATATTTCCATGATTATAAAGTTCCACAGTTGATTCTGATGTTCATCAATCATCGAGAAATCCTAGTGAATGCAGGACAACTGATTTCCATCATTTGAAAAAAAATCAAAGCACTTGTATTACTAATGTTGGCAGGCATTAGACATACAAAAGATGGCATTCATTGTAAGAAAAGCAAGTTAGTATGGGAGAATGTTAGGTAAGGTTGAAAACTAGAAAACTAATCTTGTGTTCTGTCTGATTGTAGTCCTTTTGCATAATTTTTAGTATATTCAATAAGACATTGAATGAGGGTTCCTTATCCAGGTAGAAATGACCAGTTGGGCCTTCTAAAATCCATTTTAATGAAACCTTTTTTTGGAAATCATATTTCAAGAGAGTAAATGTCATCATCACTAAAAGAATGCCATGCTTTTTAATAGCAAAACCCTGCTATTAAATCTAGATTAGAGTAAAGCAAGAGGCCAACATTCCTTGTGCAGCTGAGATGCAGGGTTGCCTCTTGTAAATGAGTATATGTTCTGAAGCAGAAGCAGCCCCAGCCTAAACAAGAGAGAAAAAAGTAAAATAGTATGGGTGGCACATAGCTAGGATGCTATTTAAGTGCAAAAATATCAGTAATTACATTAAATATGAAAGATCTAAATATTCCAGCAGTAAAAACTCAAAGATGATCAGACTGTATTAAAACTCAAAGCAAATAATTTTTAAAGACACACATCTAAAACTAAAAGATATACAAAAATTGAAAGTAAAAGGATGGAAGACGTTATATGACGCAAGTGCTAACAAAAAGAAAGCCACTGTAGCAATATTAAGAATAAGAAAAAAAATAAATGTTAAGGCAAAAATTTTTGCTACAAATAGTCACTTCATAATGTTAAAATATTCAATTCACTAGGAAGATGTAATGATTCTAGGTTTTTGTGCATTTAAAACATGAAGGATAAAATGAACAGAATTTCAATGAGAAATAGACAAATTCATAATCACAGTGGGAGATTTTTCACACTCCTTTCTCAATGATAGATAAAACGAAGGAAAAAAATCACTAAGGATAGAGAATGTTTGGACAATATAATCAATGACACAAATAGACACTGCACTCAAATCAAGACCTTGTTAGGTCATTTCCTCACTCCTACAGAAGAACACATTTAAGTTCATGAAATCTTTTTTATTATCCATTCTTTCACTTGGAGCACACATGCAAGTAATGGTAGGAAAAACCCTACACTACAAACCTATTTTCACATCATGCAAGAGATTATTATGTCTTTGAGAGAGAATTTATTTTTTTAATTGAAACATAATTGATTGTATATATCTGTGGGGTACAGTGTTGAATATCAACACCTGTGTACAATATTGAGATCATATCCCAAATTTGCATATTGTAAGATTAGGGGCAAATGAAAATTAATTTTATCAGTTAGGTACTAGTACTCCAGACTGCATTCTTTTCATTGCTTAATTTTGTAAATTGATTTTGGTGACAACTATCTTATTGTTTAGACTTATCGCCCTTATTAGGAAGGAGAAGTAAAAATACTAATTATTCTTTATAGTAACTTAATTCTGTCAATCTTAAGGGCAGAATATAGGAGACTGTTCAGGAGCTCTGGACCCACAATTTAAAACCTTCATGAGAATCTCAGATTTCAGACCAATTATTGCTGCAAAACTAAGCAAAATTACTGTGAAAAAATATCTTTGGATTCAAATGTAATCACCAGGGCCTTGCAAGTGGTAAATATTCTACAAACGAATGGTATATATTAAATGGGTGTTTCTACTATAAAAGACACTACCTTTGGGAAAACAGTACTGTCTATCTTAGGAGCAAGAGGGGTAGTGTATGACAGTACTGGCAGTGAGAGAGGGGATGAAGGAACATTTGATAATTTTTTTAGGAAGAATTTTTAAAATCCCTCTTTTCAGCTTTTTCCACACGTGCTTGGTCAGTTGTCCACATCAGAGCAATTTTCAATATTTTGTTAGAAAATTACCTGTGAGAAGAAGCATTTAAATGACATGAAAATGCTTATCTTTATTAAAGAGTGAAACCAAGACTCAATCTGAAATATAAATTTTGCTGTGCCATCGTCTTTATTACAATAGACACACCTCTTGCAATCAACCTAGTACACAAAAGTAAGTGAGGCAAAGACTTTGGAGGAATTCCATTTATTGTGGATGCATTTTCACAATATATTTTTATTGCAGCGATCAATTATCAGTGAAAAATATCAAGTGTTCATAAAATTTTTAGGAATGGCAGATTCACAGAACATGCTAGTCGGCTTGCAATTTTACCTCTTAAACATAACAGACTATTGTAATTGAACAAGTAAACAGGGAATTTATTTTTAAAAAGAATATATGCAAACTGAACAAAACTCTACCCTAAAACTTATTCCATCCAAATATTGGAATAAAAGTCAGGATCGATACATTCTCTTCTCAACTTTGGACTTTCTAGAAAAATACATAGATCAGGAGAAGCGATTGTTCAAAAGCACAACAAAGCAATGTTACCTCACCTTAGGCCTTAATTCAGACTTTGATCATTGCACTCCAAAGATGGGAGTCAATGCTACATAGGGGACTTTATGTAAACTCTGTCTTATCATAGTCTCATGTCTACTCTGTCATGGGTGGATGACTTGTGCAATCTTGGTGGCTTTTCTTCCTTTGGCCCAGGTTTGCTAAAATCTGGAGGGTTCAACTACTCTTTATTGATTTATGATGAAAACAGACTTTGGAAGGCAGTGATCACTCCTCACACCAGCCCTGCCCTGGCTAGCCCTTCTGGGGAAATACTATAGATAAAGAAATAGTTATTTGGGATGCTCCCTCAGTGTGGTAGGAACTGAGACTAAGATAATTTTGGTTAAGTCAACTGAGTTACGTGTTTATACAACTATACTACATGGATATGTCTATGCTGGAACATTTTGCCAAGACACTGGAGTATTCTTTCATCATCTATTGCGAAGAATAAGATGTTAAGATTGGATATCTGGGTTGTGTGTGTAAAAATGGTGAGCCAGTAAAGACTCTTGGGGGGAAGAAAGTAGAACGAGTAAAAGTTACATCTATTTTTGAAGTTTCAACACATTATCGACTTATGACAAGTACCAGTGACTATTAAAGGTAGAAAAGTTTAATTTAAAAAATGATTCAGAATAACATGGGGTACTGTTTCAGAGCAAGGTGGAAGTGCTGTCATGCTTCCTAAATACTGACTTTTGCTCACTTCACTTCTCTGCTTCCATAAGAAAACTTCTTTCAAAGCTGGTCTTTGTTTAGACCCACACATGGAATTACAGTCTGTACAATATTATCCTTAAAATTCTTGCTTTTAAATTTTAGAGAAGGAAGGTATCTTAGGTATCATTTAGGTCAACCTACTATGAACTTTGTTAGGAGTAAGCAGATGTTGAGCTTGATCCAGATGGTAGATTTAATAAAATTCACACTGGACTTCAAGATTGCCTTTAGTTATAAACTAAATACTATGTCTTATAGAAACTTTCAACTCATTTTGACACTTGTAATCTCTCTTTTTTCAATACTTTTTTCTTATAGGTCATCAGGCATTAAAAACATATCGATACCTATCTGCCATGTTTCTTTTGGCAAATATGAAATATTAATATAATATTGTGACTTTTAACTTTTAAAAAGCTGTGATATTGGCTAGTTACAAGGACATACTACTAAATATAATAGTCTAGCACATAAAAAAGCATTCTACCATTAGTGTGTTTGTATACGTGTATGCACATACATACATAATCAGGTAATTTAGAATGTGGTTCAGGCTACCATGACTACCAAAGAAATCCACAAAGCAACCAACCTAAAAAAAATCAGTACCACTGTCAGCTAACATAATCCGATTTAGATATGAATCAGCATGAAAAAAAGTAATACCTTAACAGTACGTTTTTTTTTTTCAAAGACAATCATTATTGCAGTATATCAAATCTGAAATGGGTTACTTTCAGAAAGTGTTACAATTGCCTCATAAGATAATTTCTTCCATGCTTTATTATAAAGTGCAGAAACAGCATGACCTCTGTATTTAAAAAAACAAAAACTACGGCTTATTTTTCTAGATACTGCACACATTCCTCAGGCAATTTCAAACTTGCAGTTGGTATCACTGTTTAGACACAGAGTTATGATGATCAGTAGAAAGTCTCTATTTCACAGCATGGGTTTCTTCAGAAACAGGCTCCTGTGCAAAGGCAGTACTTTTACCATGAACATCTCTAGACTGTGATTATTAAATATAGTGATAATATACATGGGTTTACTGGGATATTGAAAAATAAAACAAAGAAAATGAACCGAATTTAGTAAATCAATATAAATATAAAACAGAGCAAATTAGCCCTCTACAACTGAGCTGGTCCAGCGTCTTGAGCTTGGGTTTTTTCTTGAATGTCTCAAACCTGCTAAGAGAAGAGAACTTTAAATCGGCAGCCTGCAGTGCTTCAGCAAGATGGTTTTAGAAGAAAAAAAAACGAGAAAAGGAATCATACTATGGCAGGAATAAATATTTATGAAAGGGAGAAAGGGAAGATAATCGTTGGTATATATTAAAATATATTCTTTTATTCTACCCTTTCCTCTATTTTTTC